CTTTGTAGTCAGCGTTCTATCGAGATGCCTAAGCCGGCATAACCGACCCCCTGCGAAGAATGTTCGGCCTTCAAAAACAGAGAAGGAACGCGGCCGGCGGTGGCGCATGGTTCATAGCGGGCCATTTAACGGTCTTTGCGAAATTGAGTCATCACGCGGTTCCCCTGGAATCTCGAATATTTTCCTCCCGATGCTTCAGCTCCTCCGTACTATCTTCGCCTTCACCCCTCTCCCCCTTCTCGCTCGCTCGCTCGCTCTCTGTCTCGTGCTCTCGTTCGCAGACTCTTGCACATCTCTCCCTCCTCCTCCTCCTCCTCCTCCTCCTCCTCGCGTTGCCATTCGACGAAGACGGCACATAACCCCCCCTCCCCCCCGTGGATTCTCGCAGCCTCCTTGCACCTTCGGGGGATCTCGCGAGCTTCCTGCGGATGCGAGTGGATTTCCGAATTTCCGAGAAAGAGCGCGATTTCGGGCAAGACGGTCTGTCAGAGAATTTCTTCGCACACGTCACACACCCTTGACGCGTAATTTCCGCAACAAACGCGTGAGATACGTAATTACTTCCCGTCTTTACTCGAGTTTGCTTGTGATTTTATATCTTGAATAAGACATTTTCTGGAATTTTTCGTAAAAGAAAAAAAACACATTAGCGAGTCAAAAGCTATTTTAAAACGCTGAAGTGGCTATTTGCGACGAGAGACTGTCGAATTAAATTTTGGTAAAGATATTTCTCTGCGTGGTCTCTTCCTATTTTTAGCTCCGCGGTAATCGTTACGGTCACACGATCCGCCGTTGTCGGCGACGTAAGCGAGAGGACATTGATTGCGCGCTTCACGGAACGTCTCTCGACGTAACCTTCGTTCTCGTATATTCGTCGCGAAACTGGGATAAAGACGAACGTTCAACGTAATTTACGACGCGCGATTTGCAATGCAAAAAGGAGAAGAGGAGATAAAGATTTCGTCATTTAATTTCGGTCCCCGCGCGCGTGTGTTTCTCTCTGTCTCTTCGACATATTGCGTCGCTTCCTTCGCCCGCAGGTAACCGATGAATCATTTGGAAGGGCCGCGTTCACCATCCGGGGGGGGTCGACTCTTTAATCGAGTCTTTCCACGGGAAGCAAGACGGTAATCTCTTCCCCCGAAACTTTCCGCGGAACTTCGCTCGATTTATCGGGAAAATAATTCATTTGCTCTCCGCGTCGCGGGCGATTTGTGTCGCCGGGACATTCGCGACTTTCACGGTCTTTTTTTTTTCCCCCGCAATTAATTCCGCAACGTCGCTTTCCTATTCGTACATTTGTGTTTCATCATTTCTCTCAAAAGTGAGATATTTGCGATTTATCCAATCTTCAAATATCGCCTCCTTTCTCCTCGTTCTCACGTGACGTTACATTTTTAATTAACTCGACGTGCGAGTCGTCGTCGAAATACGTGACTCTCCGGTTGGAGCACCTTCTTTGGCAAGAAAACTCGTCCGGCTTGTCGTGAATTAACGCGCGATTTCCAAGCGACTACGGCGCTTCGCTCTCGTTAGAATTCTCCGCGCCGAGCGCCTCTACGAGTTTATCCATCAGGGGATGTGGGGCGGCGGGAGGGGAACCAAAGTGCCACGGCGTGATTCTGCTTACCCTTACGGTTAAACGTTATTTCAATTACGACACGTTTGATGTCGTCTGGCGCCGGGTTTTACGGTCACTCGCGCGCGCGCCGCACCGCGCCGACGGCCGTTAAACGTTAACAGCTGTGAAAACTAAGCGACGATAAGGTGGCGCGTGGTGTGCGCCATTTACTCGCTCCAATCGGCCGGAAATCAATTCATCGGCGAGAAACTTTCCCTCCCCCTCCGCCGCGGCAGAGCTCCGCCGTGTCAACAGCTCCTTTGTTTTGTCGAACGGTTTTACCTCGCATTTGTCATCGCGTATACTGACCGCGTTCAAGTGCGGTCATACACACATATTGCGACGCCGAAATTGGGTCTTGGCGACTTTGGTTAATTGTTGATGAAATCAAAATCCAATAGTGAACGCTCGTTTCTTATTGTGCACAACGCGACCGAAATAGCAGTAGACAGTCTCGTGAGTTTTGTTTCGCGTATCGATCCACATGTGCGATAAAATTTAAATAATAATATAAAAATAAAATTTATAAATATTGTTATCTTTTTTATACGAACAAAATAATAGAAAATAAAAGTAAAACTTGACATTTTTAACTACAATATTTTAACATTTTATATTAAGTAAAACTTTTATATTTGAACAATATTTTGTATTTTCTATGTGACACCCGCGCGCGCGCGCGCGCTAAAATTACAATCTTCCGGATTTCTTTTTTCTCGCACAAGTTACGCGCGATAAAACAAATCCTATAGGACGCGTTTAGGAATTATTATACACGCTTTATTTCCGTGTTATATCCCTGTTGATATATAGTTTTTGATCGCCGCAGTTTGTGTGTTACCGTATTCTCGCAGCGCGCATATATACATTCGGCGGAAAAACACTTCCGCTCTCCGTCTCTTTCTCTCTTCTATCTTTATGCGCCATGAGCGTATGCTATATATGCGGTGCGCATTGTTGTTTAAAAAATAGAATGGAACGCGGCAAATGGCATATTCGTGTTGCTAAATCCGGCGGAGGATGTTGGGATTTTCATCCGGCGCGATGAAACCCAAATGCACTCCGCGTGCATTCAAATCGATGTCCTCTTTCCCCCTCGCTCCCTCCTACTCCTCCTCCTCCGCGCCGTTCTTTTCACCGTTTCGAAATCGGCCGTCTCTCGTTATCGACACTTTCGAACGGTTTATATTCGCGTGTAACCGCGCGAATCGAGTGAAAGCATCAACTCCCGATCTCTCTTCCTCGTCTCGTTCACTTATCGTCTCTCGCGGGACGTTTCTCTCTCTGTTCCCCCTCCCCGTCTCTTTGCCCGTTTTTATTTTCCGCCATCTCGCACGCCTCATTACGATTTATTATCATCGTTATCGTTTCGAATTACACCCGCGCGCAACTTTTGTGCGTATATCCTCTCGGATTGAGTCGCCAAACGAGCCGCTTTTGCACTCTTTCTCTCTCTCTCTCTCTCTCTAATTCCGCGCGCGGCGCTAATTAAAATTTATGACATGAACGCGCTTTATCACTCGCTAAATTTAGCCGCGAATTTTGCCGCGAAAATAGTTTCCGCGCGGATCCCGCGCGTTGCTGAAGCTGCTCTTTTTCCGCGAGATCTCTCTCCCCCTTTCTCCCCCCCTTCCCTCGTATATCGCTCGCCGTTTAGTGTCCTCGTAACGACCGTCGCAGCTAATCTGTATTATCCTGTCGCAGGATAAAAATAAATAATCGCGCGATCATTTAAATGTTTCGCTCTCAAAATTAAAATTGCTAAAAAAAATTACCAAATTGCCATTTTTATGGATGTATTTTTTATGGATGCGGATGATGTTGCGTTTTCACAACAGCCGAAGATATATTTTTAATTGCGACGAAGAGAGATTTATCAACGCGAGAGAAAGACGGTGAACTCTGACAATATATAATTCCGGTTTTCCGCGCAGGTTTTTGAGATTCAATTTCTCGGATTAAATATACGCAACGCCGATGATGATTGGCTCATTTCTGCCATAAAGCGAATTTTATATAGCGCTTCGCTCCGCGAGTCTCGGGCTCTCAAAGCCTATTTCGAGCGGTTGCTCGAGGGTTTGTTTGAATCCCGGCCCGGGGAGATCTGCTTCTCGTCAATTCTAGAAGGAATGCCCGCATCCGTGAGACTTGCGAGAATGCAATCTTCGTCACGGAGCTTTCATTTCCCAGGACCAATCCTGACGCTTCTGCGGATTCCGCGATTGTTTGTTTCCATTCCCGGCGAGGAAATCAGAATTTATTGAAGCATCCAGATTTTTCGTAAAAAGACTTGAAAGAACGGAAAACAGAACGAGAGAGCGAGAGAGGGGTAGACATCTTAAAAGAGAAGTTGAAGAGAGCCAGATATAACGTTCGACGGAGTTCTGCGAAGGCTCACTTAACTCTCTTCACGAGTCCTTGAATATCCGTTAATTATAGACAATCGATCTCATTAAACGCAGCTAATGTTGTATCTTCCCTCTCTTCGGCATTTAGAATAATAGAAAATACAGGGTGCTTTAAAAAATTGTTAAGTCTTATATGAAAATAACTTTAATTTAAAAAAAAACAATCAACTTATTATCGTGTACAAAGAAGCAATCCTCGAACAATAATTAATGTTAATTAAAGAAACTGTTAATCATATATTTGTGTATAATAATGGTAAATAAAAACTAATCTTTTATAAACAATTAACGTGTAAGTAACAAATGTATTTTGTCTTCAAAGAGTTCCCATTAGTCATATTGAAATCTTCTTCGGTTGATCTCCAGATCTGTTTCACATTGCACAAATTCTCGATATATGCGTTATCATTTTGTTTTTAACCATCCTGTGCAGATAACCGAATTGTATATACGTTTTATCCCGGAGAATCATCGGCACGTTTATCTTCAATTTTTGTATTTTTGTACAAATAATATCAAATAGGAAAAAAAAACATAAAAACGATATATAAAAACAGTAAAATAATATTTTTGCGCGATGAGATAAAGCGATGTAAGCCGCTTAAGGATTATCAATTTTATACAACAGTCGCTTGTTCGATTAATGAAACATACATATATTTCACCTGTGCTCGGCAAATCGAATTCTTTAATTCCCGGATTTAAAAAATTTTTCGTTGCATAATAATGCACGAAACAACATATCGTGTAAACACGATCGGAGAAATAAAATCGCGCGTGGATATCAGAGAGAACTCTTTTTTTTTTTTTACTCCTTTGTAGCTTCGAACTTGTTTCGCGAAATGAATTAATCGCGAATGGATTGTTGCGCAATTTGTTTTACTTAATACGATGAACGGGTCGATTATGCGACGACGACGACGATAAAGAGCCTCCGATTTATATGCACGTATAAATTCACCGTGTTGCAGGTCGCAACGAGCTGATCGCCCGTTACATTAAATTGAGGACCGGTAAAACGAGAACGCGAAAACAAGTATCTTCACACATACAGGTTCTCGCGAGAAGAAAACTCCGGGAGATACAGGCGAAACTCAAAGTGGTAAGTATTTCATATTATAATTATTTCCCAGCTCACTTTGATATGCTTGTAATTATTTTTTTTTTTAATATTTTTCAATGCGCGCCACGTCGACGCCTCGATTTGGATTTTTTTTTTCTTGTCTCTTTTGTGGAGGGACAATTGACGAGATCAATGTTTATTGTTTTTTTTTCTTCAACGATTTGTTTAAACTTACTGTTCGAACTCTCATTGTCTCTTGTTATATAAGCGCGATATTTGAAGATTAATCACAACGAATTGCATTAATGCCACCAGTTTGGCGTCACGCGTGCGTGTATTATGATAATGAAATGCGAAACAAATGCGGTTGTGCGCGATCGCGATCATTTATTTAACGGTATTATAATATAATATTTGTTGACGTTCGTTACGTCGCTTGATGAATTGAGCAAAATGTTGCGTGCGCGCGTATGTTCCGCTCGCGTGTCGTTTTAAATCTCTTCGCGGTAAAAGTTTTATTTCTCTTTCTTTTTTTTTTCTCTCTCTCTCTCTATAACTGACGTACATCTTTCGAATTTAGTAGAAAAAAAAAATATTAACGTATCGAGTTTATTTTTAAAGCCGCATGCGAAAGAAAAAAAAGACACACGTGAGATCCGAAAACGCGTGCGAAGTCTCCAATGTGTTTTTTTCACTTGATAATCTCTTATAAACAATGCAACGTTCGGTCGAAACACAATGTCAGCTGCGTCGGAATAATCGAAATTCTGTTGCAATTCTCTTGCGTTTCCCACCCCCTGATGGACAGCGGAGCACGACGGTTATATTAAATCGCGATCAGCAGTGCGCGAGCATTAGCCCGGGCAGTTGCGGAATCATTTTCGAGAATAGGAAGAGAGAGAGAGAGAGAGAAAGAGAGAGAGACGCGCGTATCGAGAGGAGCATTGCTGCGGGATAAATCACGCGTAAAAATGAACCCAGCCCGTTTAATCAACAGCTGAATTATTAAAGCGATTCGCGAACAATTGCGCGCCGGTTAATAAATCAAAGCACGGCGGTGCAATCGGCGGTGCCTCCATTTCGTCGATGGGTGGTGAAATAGCGAGAGACAGAAAACACGAGTGTGAGAGAAAGAGAAAGGAGGGAGAAAGGGAGAGAGAAAGAAGAAAGAGATAGAAATAGCGAGTATTGTTTATACAGGATCGGTCAATATTCGAAATAGAAAAAAGCGAAAAAAAACAAGTCGAGCGTGTAAATTAACCGTGCGATTGCGCGCCGACAAAACTCTCCCTCCCTTGTTGGAAGTACAAAAAACAAAAAAAAAAAAACGAAGAAAAAAACTATCCCATTTTAATTGACGGCGATATAAAACGAAATTTTTGTTCGGATATTTCGCGCAATTTCGACGCGCGGCTATCAATAACTAGATCGTTAGATGTGATTGGTGTCGATAGCGAGCAAGCGAGCAAAAGAGAGAGAGAGAGAGAGAGATTAATAAATATAATTTATAACTAATTATCGCAAACGTATTACGCTCGCTTCTCCTGATCTAATTAGCGATATATTCGGCGATTCGGGAACACTCGTGCAATCTCCGAAATAGTTTGATTTTTGCGATATAATACCCCAATATTGTTGTAGAAACAACGGAGATAAGAGAGAACGCGCGTCGATACTTTCCGAACTGTGTGTGCGAAGCAATTCGGAGGACGATCATTTTCGCGAATAAACTCTCAAGGCCGACAGATATGACGATAGAAAACTTTCCGTTTAATTTCGAGCGAGAGCCTCGGAGCTTTTGTATAGTTCAGATCCTATTAGAGAGACGAACGATGATGACGCGATTCCTCTTGATTTCACTTTTCTATCGCAAGAAGAACCTTCCTCACAAAGGTAATTTCTAATATGCGCGCGACACGCACATTACGGCAACATTTTTTCACATATCTCTCTCTCTGGTTTTAACCGTTCGTTTATTTTTTGCAAACGCGCTCAACTCTTTTAAAGGTCTCGTTTCCTCCTTTCTTCCTCCTCCCATCTTCTCCCCGGAGAACGTTTCTGAAAAAATGCCAGCATTCTCAAGCAATTTTAATTACGCTCGCGCGTGTGCGACGTCCGCGTAATAAGATGTCGTTTCCGCGCGCGCGGTTTCCGTGCCGCGATGCCATTTATGAAATACTTGCGCGGGTTTTCGTTTTTAAGCACGGTCAGCCGCAGCTGCAGCGACTGCAGTAGAGAGGCCCCCGCATACCGCGAACATTATTCAGAAAAGTAGCGGGCGCACACACGAGTCCACCGTGACGTAATTTTCTGGTTTTCGCGTTCGCGGGAAAAGGGAGAGAAACGCGCGCGCGCTTGCCGCCGCGGTTCTTTTGCCGCGAGGGAGTCGGCGGTCGCCTCTTGCGAACCGCGCGCGATTTATTTATCCGGCCGGAAAGGGAAAAAGAATTTCGCGAACAAATGCTCTCTCGCGCTTCACGTCGCACTCTCTACGCGAATTCTCATTTTCGCGTTTATATAATTTTAATATAAAGCGGACGCGCGATTCGAAAACGCGCGGTAACCCCGCGTGTTAAAATATGCGCGATTGGACTGATAAAAATCCAGCCGTAAATATTCCACGTGTTTTTCGGGTGCAACTTTTTGGCATTTTAAACATTTACGCGGAGAGGGAGTAGCAAAAAGAGCGAAAGAGAGAGAATTTGGAGAAACCGAAAAACAGTAAATTTTTTATTAAAGTTTTTTTTTTTTTTTTTTACGCGCGAAATCTCAGTTGAAAAATTTCACCGTATTTTTCCGTCGCGTTCACGTCCATTATTTGCGTTTATGTTAACGACGCGTGTCACGTTTCATGCGAGGTTTGATTTAGCGCCGCTTTTGCTCTCGCGAATTTTCCACGCGCCGCCCATCAAACGACGACGAAGAGGGGTGTGAGGGTTACACACTCTCTCTGACTATCGCGGTCTATCGAGAACGTTCACCGTTTTATCTATTTTGGAAATAATTGCACCGGGCATTACGGCGTAATTAATTGTTGCGGTGTAAACGTACTCCCGATAACGGGGCAGCGGGTTGTGTGGAGCGGTTGTGGAGCGCGCGATATAGGGAGGGGTCGTGCGCGCGCGCGCGAGCGCGCGGGGAACAGAGGGTGTCCAAAAACGGGCGAGCAGCGTTTCAGAATGTCGATAAACATGTCCAACCCCGTTACCCGCCCGATCCTCTGCATTCCTAGCGTGTATTCGAGAGATGAAGGGCGAGAGAGAGAGAGAGAGAGAGGGAGAGAGAGCGAGAGACAGAGAGAGAAGGAGAGAGGAGAGAGAGAACGAACACACGGCAGCACATGTGGGACGAAGGGTGGAAATTAAAAAAAGCGACACGGACTGCACCCTCTCAATTAACCGAATTGATTTTCCGCTGCAAATTCAACGCGCGCCTCTCGCACAACGTGAACAACGGGGAGGGCCTGTACGAAATGGACTTTTCGCGGGTAATCGATGTCATCTAGCATTCATAAAAAATTACATTCTACTCGGCAAAATTCGCGCACCGCCGAAAATCGTTTTTTCGCAAATCGACCTTACCGGTTAGTCCGCCAATTCGCTTCGATGTATTACGTCAATTTCGAAACAACTGCGAAAAGACCATCTCTCTTTCCTGCGGTTTTATAACGCAATATATTTTTGGTTTTTTTTTTTTTGCGAAACATAAAAGAGGCAATCACGATATGACGTTCACGTGTTTCGATAAAAATTGGTGGAAAATTGGAAAGTACACGCGCATTTCAAATTTCTTTCACCAATCAAAAATCAAAAATACAAGAACGTTCTTTCATTTCAGGAAACGACTTACCGATGAGAGCGCAAAATAAATATTTAATGATTTAACTTTTAATTTGTCACGCACACACAGAGGACTAATGTATGTTCATCAGGTGCCTGTTTACTTGTTTTCAATAAAATTAAATTACACTTTTTTTCAGACGAAGATACAGAGTCGATTTTATGCACGCTGACGATTTCATTAAACGAACTTTCGGAGTTTCTCGCAAATTGATCGTAAAATCCGCAGAGTAACAGAAACACGGAAGCGGCTCTGTCTCTCTTGAAACACCCTATTTCGACGCGAACACGCGAGAGGCGTAAACAACGTCGAGAGCAAAATGTAACCCGTGATTTTCGGTCGCGCGTCGGCTAAATTCTTTATTGCATTGTTACGCGGGCGGCGCTTCATTCCGCCCGACCAGCACTCGTAGTGACTCCTCCATTACGGATTTATGAACGAAATTGAAAATCCCCGTGCCTTCGCGGGATGAGAGACAGAGAGAGAGAGAGAAAGCAAAAGAGAAACAGAGAGAATGACGGAGCGAGAAAGAGAGAAATAGAGAGAAAGAGAAAAAGAGAGAGAGAGAGAGAGAGAGAGAAGTGGCGAATCGGCGCGGGATGGGGGTGACGGTGGCGCACGGGCAATTTTCCGAACGTCACGGCAACGAACCACCTCTCGTTCGCCTCGTCAGCGATTTTCGGTCGGGCGCTGATTAAAACGACGGCTTTCCGATAAAAGCGCCGCCGAATTCCCGCGAATTTCTGTCGCAACCGTACTCGTCGCTCGCTGCCGTTGTTTCTGCAATCAACTGCATTGAGCGATCGCGATCGATTTCATCGTCCGGTGCGGCGCGCGATGGATGGGAACGAACAAAAAAAAAAAAAAAAAGAATATGCCATGGATCGGAGGGGGGAAAGAAAGAGGGACGGTAATCGCGTGTCCGGGAGCGGCAAATTGATTCGCATCATTGAGAATGTTACGAATTTATTCGCCAACTCTGTTGATTGATATCGCGAGTCGCGAATTCCTCGATTTTTTTTTTTTTTTTTTTTTTTTTTTTTTTTCGAGTCGCGTCGCTCTGTGTCCTTCCACAGAAGGGGAACACACGATCAAACAAAACGCGCACAACGCGAAATTCATCAAATAAATATACGCTTGTTTAAAGCTCGCGCGCGAGAGTTTTGCATTAAAACTTTTTTTACGTTCCAATTGCAAGCGCTTGGTTTGTTTTACATTATACGTTAAAAGATATTATTTGCTTGTGTGATTTTTGAATATATATCTCAACTCTCGCGAGTGACACGTTTTTGTTCGACCAATTCGGAGTCGATTTATTTCCGTCGATTAAGAATCGTCGAAACCCACACTCGACTGTGATTTGCAAATAATTTCGAAATACAAAGACTTTTTTTTTTTTTTGTGCGAATAAATTCGAAGTAATTTTGACAATCGAATCGACTCCGAATTTGTCAAGGAACTTGTGTCTTATCGCGTAATAGAGTTTTCGCGCGCGTTAGGAAAAATCCTACGACAATCCGAACAATCCCCAGAGTCGAGACTCTCATCTCTGGAGCTGAAGAGAAAGAGAGTCGCGAACAAAAAAACACAAGCATGCTTCTCGTCCGGACATTGCGTGGTAATCGATCTGAAAATTTGTCAGGATCATGCCGCCAAGGAGAAGGCGCTCCAGACAATGTCGAGTATGTCGAGCGCCCAGATAGTATCAGCTGGAAGTGCGATACACAACAAGATGTCCCCCGCTCTCGTGGGGCCCCTTGCCCTTCATGCTTCCACCCCTGTCTCCTATCCTGGAGCGGTAAGTCCTGATCTCGGAGAGGGAATCCCTTGAAGACACGTTCTCGTTTTTTTTATTTTTTTTTCTCTCTTTTTTTTATTTTCTTTTATCGGCTTTTCTCTTCAAAAGAGCCACGAGCTTTTAGGGTGAGACGACGAGACGAGCAGATCGTAAAATGCAGATTGATCGAGTTAATCACTGTAATGGAGTGGTTTTTTTTTTTTTTTTATGGTAAAATCAATTCTAAGAGAGCGAAATATAAGAGAGCGACTTTGATCTCTTCCGACCTGTAATTCTCTCTTATGTTGACTCTGCCACACAAAAAAAAAGAAAAAGAAGAAAAAATCCGACGTTTCTCGAGCAAATTTTCGGAGATGCCATTTTTGGGAACATTTCATTTCTCAGGAAATATCTTTTGGGGAAGAGAAAGCAAGTTTTTTTTTTTTTTCTTTTTTTTTAATAGCAAAAACTCATATGTTTACAATTGACTTTCGTTAGGAGAAGGACAGCTTCACGATTTCATTAATTGCGTGTGAATATTCATGTGATACGTTCTCTTGAAATATTGCGCAGCACGTGACATTTACTTACGCGACGTTACTTACGTATTATAAACGGACCGAAGGGTTCGGCGCAAAAGACAACGGCGCAAATGTCTCGTCGTCTTCGAGAATACGAACTTCCCGCATTATCGGTATCACTGTCACAGTTTTTGTGGGTCTCTCTTCTTTTAAAGTTCGTGACTGGTTCCTAACCGCTTCGCCCGATAACCGCTAATCCGCCTGCCGAAGGCAATCACTGTCGTGTGGCTTGTCGACTGAGCTATAAATTTTTTGTTTTGTTTTTTTTTGGTGCCTCGCGCAGAGTTTGAGATAACAAACGTGTAATTAAAATGTCACGTCACGAGATAAGGATTACGAGCGAATGTGATACTACTAACTTTGCCAATGCTCGCGCGTTCGTGATTAATAAACTCTGGTCGAGATATCACTTTCAGCTTGTACATATCTGTGATGCAATAAATCATTATTTAACGCTGTTACAAAGTAAAATCTCTTTTTGTGTATCAAAAAGTGTTCAGCAAGAGTAGGTAAAATTGCATTTTCGATATTTTTTATTAACACAACGCGCGATGCAGAGTCAAGCGATACAATCGGTTATATAGCACATTTTAAATTACTCAGTGATTTTTCTAGTTACTAAAATTGTTATGTTGCTTCTTTCTTTGCGTACAAAAAGTAGTCGTTTGATGAAAAGATAAATAAAGTGGACAATATGTGAATATACGTTTTCTGTTCTCGTTTCTTTCCGATTTTCCTATTCAATTTCGTTTTTCTTTCTCTGTTCTTGTTTTGTTTTTTTGGTCATCTTGATTTTTTTTTTTGTCATCTTTGTTTTGTAACTAATCAAAGAAAAGACATTTGGCAAAACGGGGGAGAAAAAATTTGTCTTCGCTATAAATCATCAACCGCGAACTTTCTTCTGTGCGAAAGCTTTCAAAGACTAACCATCCCTCGCACAAGCGACGACAACCCCCTGTGCTCTCTGCTACTACGCCGCCCCTGGGGGCCCTTGTTGTGTATTGTTGGATTTGTCCGTTGCTCTAATCTTGTACATATGTATCACCTGGGAATCATTCACACACACACACACACACGTACAACAAAAGTTTACATACGTTACACGCGTACACTGGACGTATCTGTATAACGAGAAACGTTATTGTGGCTTATCACAAACTGTCTTTCTTTCTCTTTACGTAATCATACGACTATTAGCTTATTATTATTATATTATTGTTGTTGTTGTTGTTGTTGTTCTCTCTTGTGTTCGTTCGTTTCGTTTTCCTGTCGCTTGTCCCTCGCCCGACGGCTCGTTGGCTTCCGAAAATCAAAGATTTTTTCAATTTTTTTTTTTTTCCATCAAAACAATGTGTAAGAGAAAATATTTCGAAAATAGAAATTAAAAAAAAAAACAAACACATGCTTTGATTCATTTTTCCTCGCTTACTTCTTTCTTCGTTTTAATTTTTAATTTGTTTCTTACGTATCCGTATATCTTTGACAATCAAAATCTATTTGAAATATATTTGACGATTAAATTTATTCAACAAAAGCTTCTTTCTATTAAATCAGATCGGCTCTAGTCGTTAATTGTCATGTGAAAAAAACATGTTAAATTAATCTGCGACGTGCTTCCAGCAATTTTGGCAGCCAGGTTTACAGCCGGGAACATCCCAAGATGTGAAGCCGTTCCCTCAGCCTGCCTACACTGGGAAACCGGCGACGGCAGTTTCGACCGGAGACATTGTCCAGGCGCAACATCCTCCGCCGTGGGAAGGACGCGCCATCGCGACCCACAAACTCAGGCTCGTCGAGTTCTCGGCCTACATGGAGCATCAAAGAGATCAAGAGATAGTGAGTAGTAGTGTAACACGATAAACGGAGGTAATCTCGATATGCGATCCACGTATGTCTCGACAGACACACGAGAAACAGAAAACACGGTGTATTCTCACATCGAATTGTTTCCATTTCTCTCTAGTTCCACAAGCACCTATTCGTCCACATAGGAGGTTCCGCGACTTACGCAGATCCGCTGCTAGAAGCGGTTGACGTCAAACAAATATACGACAAATTCCCGGAAAAAAAGGGCGGTCTGAAGGAGCTCTACGACAAAGGACCGCAAGCGGCCTTCTTCCTCGTTAAGTTTTGGGCTGATCTCAATAGCAACATTCAGGACGAAGCTAACGGAGTGTTCTACGGTGTTACGAGCCAGTGAGTTGACGCCTTCGATTGCACAATACTGTAAGACCGACGCGACGTTGGTGTGTACATAATTGAATCGTTTTGTGCGACAGATACGAAAGCAACGAGAACATGACGATAACGTGTTCGACGAAAGTATGCTCCTTTGGGAAGCAGGTGGTGGAGAAGGTGGAGACAGAGTACGCCAGGTTTGAGAACGGCAGGTTTGTGTATCGTATCAACCGCTCGCCCATGTGCGAGTACATGATCAACTTCATCCACAAACTGAAGCACCTGCCAGAGAAGTACATGATGAACAGCGTTCTCGAGAACTTTACCATCCTCCAGGTTGGCATGTTTTGTTATCGCGATACGTCAATGTGATCAATTAACGATACGCGTGGATTTTACTGACTCTTGTTCTTTCTCTCTCAGGTTGTTACGAACAGGGATACGCAGGAAACGCTATTGTGCACGGCATACGTGTTCGAGGTGTCAACGTCCGAACACGGCGCTCAGCATCACATATACAGATTGGTCCAAGACTAGCCTGCTTGAACCTGCTCGCCATGCAGCCATCCACCCCCATCAGTGCCTACCATCACATAAGAATCATCCATATGCGTACACACACTGTAAGAACAGAAATATGATACACACACATACATACATACATACACACATACACACACACACACATGCACGCACGCACGTATATATTGCACGCGATATGCAAGCGTGAATATATGCGGGTGTCGACACGCTTGTTACACACTTACACACGGAAATATTTTCGCGTCCATAGTTAGGTGAGTTTCGATAGAAAATATTCGGTCAATGAAAAGGAAAAAAGCTCTAGAGAAAATGTAAGTTCAATATAAACTACGAATTGTAGATAATATTACATCAATACATAATATTTATTTACAATTAAATGTAAATAAATATGAAATATTGTGTAAGCCACTCCTACCCCCCCCAGAGCGTTCGTCATCCGGTGGACGAGACTTCATATTCAAAAGATGAGACAAATTCAGACATAGAATAAATTATATATATATATATATCGTTGAATGCTCTGCAACGGTTCTCTCTCATTTCTCGATTCTTTGCTCACTTTTAAACTCTGTCTCTGTAACATTAAACTAAAAAAAAACAAAAAAAAAAAAAACAATTAAGATAAGACAACACGCGCTGCGAACGTTTTCTGTGAAACTCCTTAAAAGGGACTTTTTACACACAATGTACACGCAATGTATAAATAGAGTACTGGCCAGCCCGAGCTTGAGTTTGATTCAAAGTTTATACTTTTTAACAACTTATCGCGTCTTCGACGTGCGTACTTGTGAGAAGAAATTCTTCTAATAAGTGTGCGCTAGACACAAATGTCTCTTTAAGGTATTACACGCAATTAAATAAATTTTATAATATAAAATAGATATATAAATCGTACATAAACATATATTTTATGATCACAGTCATCACGTTTAATCGGCGGATCTCTCTCTCGCGCGCACACACACATATATATACACACACACACATACATACACAGTTTGTCGAGATTTTAATATAAAAAAAAAAAGAGTTACAATAAATATTAAGTTAGAATCGACAATAAATTTTCGTATAAAAAAACTACGTGAAAATATAAATATGTATTTAAAAAAAAGAAAGAAAAAAAGAAGAAGAAGAAGAACAAAGAAGCAGACTCTGATCTCGGAAAGGCATGGTACCACTTTCCTTCCCCCCAACAACATGATTTAGTATTATATAGTTTTATTATTAAATTAGACGATAGAGAACCGAGACAAGACATCCACACACAAATATAAATATATTATGTATAAGAATATATATGTTAAATATTAATGCAATGATTACGATTTACATTGTTATAAATGATCGTGTATAAAGTTGTCTAAGTTTTAAATGGAAATGGAGGTTCGACCGCGAGATAATAATAACAAAAAAAATGCCATTATACAATTTGTTTTAAGTTTTGCGAATTTACAACACATTTGCGTATTAATTTTCAGAATTAGATTGAAGAAAGATAAAAAGTATCGTGCGTCAGTATATAATGCGTTTCTTTAAGCTACGTCACAGAACTGCTTTTCTTATCTATATATTATATTCACATGCGAGATATTACACCACTACGAAAACCTTTTGCTACAGCCATCATCAACCTTCAATGATTCTAGAAAGAGAAAAATATATATACATATATATATATATATATACATATAGTGATCACTTTTATATATTTTTGAAATGCGATCTTTTTTAAAAAAGCACTCGCTAATGTGCAAACCCACCACTCTTATTAGGCAGCGACACTTAGGTTAGAGGGATGTGTTTGTATTTCTTTTGTATTTATACATGTATGTGTACATATGTATATATATATATATATATGTGTGTGTATATATATATATATGTGTGTATATATATATATGTATATATATACACGTACATATGCGTATATTATGCTCATATACATACATGTATATATATGAGATATATAAAATTATATATTAATTATTAAAATTGTAAAATATATAATTATATATAAAATTTATACGTATGAATACACATAAGTGTATAAATACAAATTGCCTTACTTTATAAATTATATTCTAAGTTCATTTTCTATAGTTCTTACCGATGAATGATTTTTTTCTTACTTAGTGTAATTTTGTTTGTTTTTATCTTTCTGCTACACTTATGCAAAGCGATATATCAGATTACATTGATTACAGATAGAGGTGAATAGTCACCGTTATTTTATAGTCACCGTTATAGCTGTGTAACTATGAGATAGGGATGTAGATCTCTCTCTATGAAAAACACACTCCTTTTAACATTTTTCACCGGGACATAGCGGAATCTATCTCGAAAAATGTAATAAGACATATGGCGACTTTGTGGTGGCACAGAGAGCCCGTCGACATTCGTTTGATACTTTGACTGCAATACCGCTCTGTAAAACAATTTCTGTGGAAAAAAAAGTATTTTTTTCAGAGCGCGTTGATAAACAATAATAACAGTGTTATGTTGTAAACAAAAAAACTGTTTCGTACTTAATAATGTAATTTATGCGTTTACATACACACACACACACACGTACACATGGACTTATACTTGCGAAATTTTGTTTTTTGTTTTTTTTATAAAATCGGTGGCAATTGTTTAAATGAGTAGAGGACCATTATATCCCGACAGTTGACTTATTTAATTGCATGTCTCATTTATAGATGATTTATGTGTAAATGCACACAAAAACTCTTCACTTTCATCTGAGCTTCATCTGTTGTGGTGTGACCGAAAAAAAAAACAAAACTTGCCTATCGAGCAGTGAAACGTTTAACATTTAAGCAAGATTAAAGCTCGTGTATATTTTATAAGAAGATAATATTACTTATATTGTGTATTCTTACTTTAATTAATTTTTACAGGACAAGTGGCAATGTATTTTGATCTCTCTTTTAGTCAGAAATAATGTCGCTTTTTATTTGGGGATGAGAAGTGAATTTACTATGTGGTTGACTGGAGTAGAAAAGAATTTATATTTAATCGATAGGTGAATGTGTTTCTTTTTTTGTTTGAGGAAAAAAAATTAAAACAGGCAGCTTTTTCGTACATACCTTTTACTTATTGTTACCGTTTTTCTTTTTTTGTTTTTTTTTCTTTTTTTTGTAAGCTTAGTGTTCATTTAAGAGTGAATCTCTCGGAGTAGAAAGAGCAAAAAAGGAAAAAGAAGAATTTATAAATAACAGAGTAACTTTCTATAGTAGTCTTTAGCGGTATATATACGTGTTTGTAACTCTCGAGAGCAAAGCAGTATTTTTCTCAAATGAACACTAGCCAGTAGTAATTCGTAACGTTGTTCTTTTTATATTATACTTATTATATCAAAATATAACATTGTGATGATAAGCCAATCACAATTGATGCATATCAAATTGATATTGTGACCACGACGATTCTATCAAAGTTTTTTTTTGTGATGATTTGCTTGTTGATATCCTAACTTTTCCATTTCTGAGTTTTCGTAATTTCAAATAAAAATTGTAAAAATGTTGAGTTTTCACATTTGTAACATTTGTAATTAACAAAAAATGATCAAGGAACCATCTCGTGGTTATACATCGAATCGCTTTTAGTAGTGTAACGCCTTGTTGTTTTCCAAAAAAAAAAAAAAAACTGCGCAATATCGTTGAAAGATACTCACAATTCGATTTTTGACCACGTGAATTTTTATTTTGTATGGCAATTTGAAACGAAAGAACGTGAAAAGAAAAGTGCGAAATTGTGAAAGAGGAGAGGAGAGCACCGACGGTTAATATTAACATTTAAACGCGTGTAATGATTTTAAAGTAAGTAAATTACATTTGTAAGAAAAGATTATGAAAATATATATTTATCTATGTCTTCTGTGAAGATAGAAAATAGTACTCTCTCACTATATATTGACGATATCAGAAAGCAACAACAAAACCCGATTACAAAATAAAAACCGATTACAAAAAAATTTAACGCAGAAGTTTAGACTTAAGGAAAGAGAAGAAAGAGACAACTTGTGCACAATACATATGATACGATCGATCTCGATTGACTCAAGATTTGTTAAATATCTTTGTACATATATATATTTACATGAGAAGACCATGAGAAATTGTTCAAGTTCCAGCAGCTACATTTTTCTAATAAGTATATCACTGTGTAAGAGAAGAGAAAATCATGTTGCTTGTGTAGCTCTTTGTAAATCCACAGTTCCACACTTCTAAACCAAATTTATATACGAAACTGTGTGTTAAATATTTTCATATAGAGAATATATAAAATTAATCTATTGATTGGTTATTGTAAATGCAATGTTTCGAAACGAAGAAAATTGCGTTTGTTTTATAATTATATAATGTAATAAATATATGTTATACTTATGCCGGCAATAACAAGGCATTTATTCAAAACAATTACTTACTGAAAACTCAATCATTCGCAAATCGAAATCAATTTCTCTAGTACAAAAATATTCAAAAGAAAGAAACACATACAGTTTTAATATACAGTGTATGTTTTTTTATAATTATACAATTTTGTGAATAGCATTACTTTTTCTGCTAAGATGAATAATTTTATTCGTAAAATTAGTTGGTTAAACTTTTGTCGGTATAAGTATAATAAAAAATACATTTAATTATACACTTTGTAGCGTAATTTCATATAATTTTACCAAACATTAATTTTATTTTTCTGTGTGGAAATATTGATCTGCGACAAATGTGCAATCGGCCTGTTAATTAATTCGAGAAGTCTCTGTTCCTTTGAAATTCTATTTATTCACCTGGAACTGCCATATCAAAAACTGAGCTTGAGTGTAAAGTTGACTAAAAAAAAAAAAAAAAAGAACCTGTATTGATCAGTGAAAAAGAGAGAGAAACAAGGAGATCTACCTGTATATTATCATAAATAAAACGAAATGAGGATCAAAGTAGTTGTTTTAACGAGTAAATAAAAAAATAAATGAAATGATATATCATTTAATTAGAGGTTTAAAAATATAATAGAACTCAGTATATGTACAGTATTTGAAAAAACATGTTTATAATTTGTATGGAGAAAATAAATGATTGATATAAAACGGAATTGTAGTTTTTCGTTTCTACATCATTGCTGTTTTTTTTTTACTCTTCGATATATAAAGTACCTTATTTTAGTTTTCAATAGATGTGTTGCTTCATTTTAAATTAGAGAGAAGACTAAAGCTCGATTTCTTCACACTTCCCGATAGCCTCTAGATAAAGATATACAAAAAGATATATTTTATCTTTCAGGTAAAGTTATCGAGAACTTATCAGAGGTGAAGAAATTGGGTATAAGAACAGCCAGGGTCATATGACAAACTGTAATAGCTTTTGCTCTGTAAAGGCATCCGCACAAACTCTTTCGCAACGCGTTACGTTACGTTAAATACTGGTCATAAATTTAGATTCGTACGTAATGACCTTTACCGAAAAGTCAATGACCTTTGCCGAAAGATCAATGACCTCTACCAAAAGGTTAATGACCTTTGCCAAAAGGTCAATGACCTTTGCGGAAAGGTCACTGACCTCTGCCGAAAGGTCAAGGACCTTTAACGAAACGTCAATATTTGAATATATAAAATATGAAAAAAGATTATGTGATAAAATATTTGAATAAATTTTCCGAAATAATATTTTTTTAAATAATTCTTTTTTCCCAAAAGAACATCTCAAAAAATGTTATTTGATAATGATATATTAATAAAAATATGTAATTTGGTACAAGTGGATGTAAATCCTGTTCGACATAAGTGTAAGATACAAATCAAGTCTCATGGAAGTGACCAATCACGTTGGTCAATTGGCTGACTTGACTATGTAATTAGTCAATTCCACGAGATCTTGGTTCAGATTTATGTCTTGCGCTCATTATAGAACGGGCTTTACACTTACTTTTGTAGATATCCGCGTTGGCGCTGAAACCAGCGGCCGAAACCGTCGTGAAAAATGAGATGTAATCGGCCACGTGGTTGTGCGCTTTTCTCACAGTATTTCAGTAAAATTAAAATCTGTTAAAAGAGCAAAATGGAGCTGGACAAGTTTGAGGAACGAGCATCTAAAGCGGTAAATTCTACATATATATGTATAGTTTTCTAAAGTTTTTTTCAAGTGCTTAAAGATGTATGATGAAAGTTTTTTATGTTTTGAGTCAGTTGAGAGGTTACCGCCTCCTATTTACATATTCAATATGTATATATTCCAGGAAGAAGACATAGCTTTTATAAAACAACAAATTCAAATGCTGCAAAACAGTATTGCGAACAATTCTTCGAAAATGACTGATGAAGAGTTTGACAAACTGCAACAAGAGAACATCAAGTTGAAGCACAGAGTAGCATTACTGAAAAGGGTAACGTTAGAATACTGAAGATATGTCAGCGCACAACTTAAGAGACTTTAAAACTTCATTTTGCTAACATATTTTTATTCTTCATAATTATTTCTTTGTACTTAGGCTGTAGAAACATCAAGTGCTACAACATTAAGTACGCAAAGCAATAATGTAATCAGTATATATGATACACTCTGTAAAATCATGGAAAAAGCCATTAAGGATGCTTATCCTGACTTGATTGATCCACCAATAATAGTAACAATTAGCACTAATCCCAAGTTTGGTGATTACCAGTGCAACAGTCCTATGTCGTTAGTTCCACTACTGACTAGTCCTGGTATGCGTCTCATCTTATTTCTAATTTTTATCAGAAAAATTAAATATTCATATTATAGATTGTATATATTTGTTTTTTTTTATTGCAGGTAAAAAAGTAATTCCACATGATGTTGCTAATAACATTGTATCTAAGTTGGAAGAATCCTCTCTAGTTGATAAATACGAGGTCGCAGGTGTAGGATTTATAAATATATTCTTAAAACGTGATTTTGCACAATCTACTTTGAGCAATTGGCTGAAGATTGGTGAAGTTCCTCCTCCTTATGTCAAGAAGAAACGAGTGATTGTAGACTTTTCTAGTCCCAACATTGCTAAGCAAATGCACGTTGGACATCTGAGGTCTACTATAATCGGCGACAGTATTTCTAGGTTATTAGAATATTTAGGCCACAATGTGTTGAGGATCAATCACGTAGGCGATTGGGGCACGCAGTTTGGTATGTTAATTGCGCATCTTCAGGACAAGTTTCCTAATTATTCAACTGTTGCTCCCCCTCTTCAGGATCTTCAGGTAATTATACACAATTCTATTATTTTATTTATAATATTTAAAACTTATTTCCATGTATATATCCAAATATATTCGGATTTTTAGGCCTTTTACAAAGAATCCAAGGCAAGATTTGATGCTGATGAAGAATTCAAGAAACGCGCGTACGAGTGTGTCGTTAAATTACAAGCTTTCGAACCGGAAATAACACGGGCGTGGAAAACGATTTGTGATATATCTAGAAAAGGTAAAAATATATCATTTTCATCAATAATATTTGTGATTATCGATTATGAGAAGAAGCGCTGTCTAAATATATTATTCTTGATTTGGCACAGATTTGGAAAAAGTGTACACTCGTCTGGAGGTCAGGTTGACAGAGCGAGGTGAATCGTTTTATCAAACACGCATGCAATCGATAGTCAAGGAATTAGAATCGAAGAACTTGTTAGAAGATGACAATGGCCGAAAAGTGATGTGGGGAGAAGAACGCACTGGAGTACCGTTTACAATAGTAAAATCTGATGGCGGTTTTACTTATGACACATCGGACATGGCTGCCATAAAGCACCGTGTGGAAGAAGAAAGAGCAGATTGGGTGAGTGTTGTTTGACGCGTCTTCTACGTATTGTTCTATTAAATTTCTTTGTAACATAATTTTTATAATTTATATTACAGTTGATATACGTAGTAGACTCTGGCCAATCTCTGCATTTTCAAATACTAGAAAGTTGCGCTAAGAGGGCAGGTATTCTCAAGAGCTTTCACAGGATGAATTACGTTGGTTTCGGTGTTGTTTTGGGCGAAGACAAGAAGAAGTTTAAAACGAGGTCAGGTGACACTGTGAAACTCGTCGACTTGTTGGACGAAGGTGATAAACCGATATTTCAATCTTATTTGACATCTTAGTTTTTTTTTTTTTTCTCGTTTCTAATGATCTAACGACTGTGTGTCTGGTTTAGGTTTGAAGAGAGCGCTGCAGAAACTGAAAGAAAAGGAACGCGACAAAGTGTTGTCCGAGGAAGAGTTAAAAATGGCTCAAGAATCGGTGGCGTATGGTTGCATAAAGTACGCCGACTTGTCGCACAACAGAAATCACGAATATGTATTTTCGTTCGACAAGATGCTAGAGGACAAAGGCAACACCGCCGTATACTTGTTGTACGCTTTGACGCGAATTCGATCTATTGCCAGAACTGCGAACATCACGCCGGAAGAGTTGCGGAAACGCGCACACGACACCCCGATATCGTTGCAACACGAGAAAGAGTGGAAATTGGCCAAGGTATTACTCAAATTTCCCGATGTGATTCTCAACGTTAGCAACACTCTGTATTTGCACCCGTTGTGCGAATTCTGTTACGAGATTTCGTGCGCGTTTACGGAATTTTACGACAAATGTTATTGCGTGGAAAAGGATCAAACGGGCGAGATTGTGAAAGTGGACATGGGTCGTCTGTTGCTCACGGAAGCTACCGCGATTGTATTGGAAAAATGCTTCGCTTTGCTAGGCTTAAAACCTGTTGCACGAATGTAAGAACATTTTTTTTTTTTAATGTAATTTGATTATATACTACGCAGATTTGTTTTGTGCGACACGCATCACATTTACTTCTTTTTTGCGTTTGAACACGAGAACGAAGGAAAACTGAGTGTTTATTCCTATTTCATTTTGATTTTGCGTTTTATTTATTTCACCAATTTTTTATACGGTGCGTATTAAATTATAAAAATAAGTATATATTATATATTGATAAATATATATGTATATTTTTAAAAATATTTATAAATCTTACTCTGCAACAATCAAATATATCTAATTTTTTTTCATAGTTGTCCCTTCTACTTCCTTTTATTGAAAACCGCGACAATCCGGTTTAGTACCGCATGCTGATATAAAACATCCAGCGATTTTTGAAAACCTATTAATTTTTTTTCAAGAGCAAAGAACTTCAAAATAACGTCTTAAAAAATCCAAATTAATTCTATTATGATGTCAAGTAATTAGACAAAAATTAACACAACTAGAAAAAATCAATAAGTGCCAATCATTGGAGGAGTTCTAACCGTCAGTTGCCCTATGATGGCGGATGATGCCGTAGTAGAGGGTAACAGTATGAGGGGAAAAGATGACAAGCAAGTTACCGACAGTGACAATAAAGAGTTCGTGACAAAATGGAGTGATATCACAATGAAAGGGTTAAACTGCACAATCGAAAAAAACACACGAAAGAACTCGGGCAGTAAAAGTTAAAAATATCACATTACAGACATTCTTTCCAGTTTATATTAAGAAAATGCTGGCATGTGATAGGCTCAATGCTTAAATATCTTGCTGTTTAAGTTTTTTTTTCGTATAAGTTCCTGGTTTATTGCTTCCTGATATGTTAGAGATTCTTTCGTGCGGCTCTTTGTCCCTCACTTTCCCCGCTGAGTGCAAAACGGGGAACCTTATTTGTAAAACTGCGGGATACCTTCTTTATGTTCTTCGCAATAAGAAAAGTAAAATACGCACTTAGAAAGAAAAATACGCACACACATATGCTTAGAATACGTCTAGAAGCAATGAAATACTCGGGTCTAAATAATTTAGTAATTTGTATCTTTTTTGTGTCAAGACAGCAAACATACAATGTACACGTTTGCGTGACGTTGGGTCTTTGTATGTGTTTATTATTATTCAAATTTTTATTATCATTCAAACGTTATTGGAGCAATTATAACTGATGTACAGGTATTGTATCTAATGAAAAATAGCCGAGGATTATATTTCAAATTGACATTAAAGTTATTGTTCCGTTCAATTCGAATAAAACAAAAATTGACGTTATATAGCCTTCACGTTTCGATAATTTTCTCCATTGTTATTAGAAATTGCGCGTGGTAAAATACTGTGAGACAAAAATGCACGTGGTCGATTTGAATAGATTCTGTGAGAATTCTGAGATTTATCAAAATTTAGACTATTTTTTATCTTTCTTTTGTGCCTTACGAGAGTCGATTCGAAGACTAAGAAATTGAATTAGTCGCGACTGATCATCATCACACTTCGGCCAATTAACGTAACGCAAGTGGTTTCGCGTTGAGTTAACCGACAGATTATTATTGTGTACATACGCGCGCGACCTTGACGGTCTCGTCGAAAAGGTATAATAAAAAAAAAGAAAAGGAAAAAACAAAGTTATGAATATTAATCAATTGACTCTTGAAACTGTGTTCTATGATCGTCTTCGCGCCGTGGTGTCGGAAAAGCAAATAACAGCGCGCGCAAATTGCACGTGTTCATGATACATACATGTTGTTGCGTGTAGACATCGCGCAAAAACTCTCCGATAGCGGAGGATCTAATATTAACCGAGCCGACATCCGACGCGCAGGATTCGATTCTCTGCGAATGCGCTCGGTATTGCGCCAACGAGGCTGCCGCTGCGGAATGAAATTTGTCTCGGTGTTGTCGATGGAGTTTCGATAACTCGATAAAAATCCGACGAGCGGAAGAGCAATCGTTTTGCCGCGTAGAACTCACCCTCTCGCCTCTCTCTCGTTCGCTCGCTTTCTCGCCCTCTTCTCTTCGGTTCACCCATTTTCGTCCCGTCTCTCTCCTTTTCTCTCGTTCTCTCGCCTCCGCGAAGACCATTTCCCCTTCTAATCTGGACTGCGTGGGTCAGAGGTTAGTCGGTCGAACACACGGGGGTTGCAAGGTGGTGACGCGAGATGGAGAGACGCGCCGAAACGGGGCGTTCGGCGAGTGAATCGCGTGTGTGAGGAACAAGAAGGGATCGAAGGGAAGGGGAAGAAATAGCCAGTTCCCGAGCATGATCCCCCTTTGATCCGTTTTACTACGGTCGTTCCCTTGAATTAAGGTGGAATAAGAAAGAATTTGCGAGAATCTTTTCGCCTTAACGTAATTTTTTTTTCGTTTTTCTTTGTTTTGCGCGTTACGCGTTATAGACGTTGTTTAAAAAATTTATCCCAAACTTTCGCATTTAATTCACACGGAGAGGTGAACACATCCAATAATTTTGGCACTTTGGCAAAGACCTGTCAATTTTTTTCAAGAGTAGACTTCAAAGTAATGTTGCCGTAAAAAATTACAATTAATCTTATAATGTAAAAATAGACAAAAATGCTAACACACACAACTACAAAAAATCAGAGGTTCTACATGCGTGTGAACGATATTTCAACGAACAAATAATTAAATTTCCATATGACACGCGAAAAGTCGCGCAAATTATTTTAACTCTATTTCTGGATACGTGAGAGATCTCGTAGTATATTTTATATCGTGATTCTATTATAGTTAATAACGATTTAAGAGATATTGCATCTCACACGGTGCGTTGCGGGTAGATTTTCAGATTGCGAGACTACTCAGGTAGGTGTCATCGCGCAGCGGAAACGAAGACAATTCGCGTTGATTAAAATGAGATACGAAATGGGGTGCGAATCGGGTCGCGCTCGTGCGGCTGCGACTTGCGATAAATTTGCCGCGGAATTCATAAAGCACCGTTACGTCGCTCCCAACTCGAATTGCGCAAGAGAACGGTTTGTATTTTGTGTTTCTTTTTTTCAGCGTTTAAAAAAAATACGCGTGATCCTCTTTTGGGAATATTGCGCCTAAAATAAAAAATAAAAAAAAATATATATTTTTTTCGTTATATATTTCGTTTCGATCCAACTCCAGCGGGATTTGGATCGAAACGATTAATCATCGACGGGACGGATTATTTCGTATCACGCGGAGACGACTATATCGTTCTTGTTCGATTCGGTCCCCGATGTCGGCGCGTCGTCGCTTATGTCGGATTACATTAGAGGATTTGCAACATCGACTTCGACATATGCTCGAGACTTCCTCCGCTCGGAAATCGTTAATCATCCATGATAAAGCGATGATATTGAATTATGACGATTAAAATCATGCTTGACACGATTTCGTGTATATGTAATCATTTATTCAACCCTCAAACTACACCGGTCAAAAATCACCGACTGAAAGATAATCTCATTTGTCACAAAAAAAGAAAATAAAATAACGACAATAACATAAAACAAAAGAAAATGCAGCTCTAAGTAACAAAACTAAACATTTTCTTCTAATGTTTGACAACATTAACTTTAGGATATTTGCTTGTGCTACGCGAGAAATATTTATAACTGTGTGCGGTGGAGTAACGTTTTTATTCCGCCAGTGTAGTTAAAGGTATAACAACAATTTCAATTCAAATACTTGTATTATTAACCCTTTGCGGACAGACCCGCTCAAAAATTGCAAACGGTGTCTCTAGTAAAAAAAATAGTTTTTTTTTTTAACGCTTATATCTTGGAATCTATTAGAAATTTTTGTGTTTTTCTTTATCGTCGCAAAATCGTTCAAACTTTTGATTAAAAAAAAAAACCAAAATTAAAGAAATATTGATTTACGCGGAGATATTCGATTTTAAAGTCGCGTGGGTCTCACTGACCCAGTCTGTTCAAAACTAGCAGATTATTTTTGTGAAGTCTGTCCACGAAGGATTAATTATTACAGCAACGCGACTCGAAAGATTATGTTTGAATCGCGCGGTGACAAATTCATCCCGTTAGAGCAATAAATTGGACACACTTGGAAGTGTCCCGCTCCCAGAAATCATCGCAATATCAGTCACCGTAACGCCGTACTCGTCCGAATTACCTTGCGCTCGCAACGACAACGTTTATTATTTTGCGGACGGAGGGAGAACCCCCCGCGAGCGAGCCACCCTTTTCTCACACATGTAGAATTGAAATCGCACTCAAAAAAGAAAAGGGTAATCTGTACCTGCTGTCATCTAGTAAATAAGCAAAATCGACGAGGGGGAATCCCGCCCGAACCCTCATCTCATTAAAGCGGCATGATAGTCAGTTTAACTGCATGCGCGGGACGCGTATTTTCGACACATCCTTCCGATCTTTACTTCAGTCACAAAGATTTAAGGATATTATCGAATTTTTTCACACAACGACACCAGACTGGACAGAGACGAGACTGCTAATGCACAATTTTCACGGATTACCGTAACCGCACTCGGGGATGTAATAATTTCAGAAGAGACTGTGTGTCATTCTTTGAACTTTTTCACAAAGTTTCGCTAATTCCGAAAGACGTTCAATTAGATCTTGACCGAGACAAAATTAATTAATTCGTTTTCGAATTAAGTAAATTAGTTCGAAAAATCATTGTCGCGTCAAATCGCGGTAACAGATCGCGACTAACAGAATCATAAAGTCACCAAGCAGAGATAGGATTCGTGTATGGAGTGCAATAAAACGAAAGGGTAGGACAATAGGGGGGTGGGACAACGAGGGGAAACGAGGAGGGTCAGAAATGAAGGGCGCTGCGAGAGAGAAGGCAAGTGGAGGCTATACTGAAGGGATTACCACGCAAATATTTATGTAGCGAGACCCCACGGGACGGCGGATCATCAAATTCCAATGACAAAACGGTCCGCGCGAGATCTGGCTGGATTTTCGTGTCTGCGGGTGGTGAGACATCAGTGGGGCGAAGAGGGGAAGATCGCACATTCACACATATGCTGTGCTCCGAGAGAGCGGAAAGTAACGCGCAGTTTTCGTAACATCGCTGCAGCGTCAGCACACACGTTACACACGTGTAAACGTGCAAAAGAAAAGGATCATAATATTCGGTTTTTTTTTTACACTCTTTTTTGTTTTAAAACAAAGACTTTTC